TGAGCCCTCGGGCGGCGCAGCGTTGGAAACGGATTAGCGGAAAACACAGGATGAGCTCAGGAACCGTGCTCAGCGGCGCTCCGAGTGAAATCACTGCTGCGTCCTAAAGTTAAATCTCTACCTGGACTCAAGAGATCCCTGATGCTGCAACTTTTACGGAAAATCACAGCGTAGGATCAAGTTAGACCAACGTGGTCCATCTATTTTATCACACCTTTATAGTAATCGGTGTCTTAAAGCTAAAAAAAAAAAAAAACAGAGAATAAATAAGAAAAACCTGCTGCACTTATACCGATTTCTGATTTTTCTTTGTGTCTTGCTCAATTCAGTTTGACTCTGTTTAAGTAACATTCAAATTGATAGAATATGATTGAAAATAATCCATCCATCCATGTTCTTACAGCCTAGTATGGGGTCAGGAAGTGTGCTGGTACCTATCTTCAGCTGTCAACAAGTCAGAGGCTGGGTCACCCTGGACAGGTCACCCTGGGCACGCCACCCTGGACACGTCACCAGTCCATCGCAAGGAAACAGAGACACAAGCTCACACTCACTAAGGAGAATTTAGAAAACCCACTTAACAGTTAAATTAACAGTCATACTTTTGGACTCTGTGGGAGGAAGCCGGAGTACCCGGAGAGAACCCACCATGCACAGGGAGATGATGCAAACTCCATGCAGAAAGACCCCTGGCCGAGAATTGAACCCAGTACCATCAAACTGCAAGGCAACAGTGGTACAAACTATGCATCCCTTTTTAAGTAACATTTAAAGTGATCAAATATGACTGAAAATAATTAAGGTAATTATTGGAGGCTTTTGGGGGGTTGGGACCGACGGAGGCACAAAGAGAGGACTCGATACCAGGACCAATAGAGGAACAGAGAGGCGGAGGCACAGGGGGGCGTCATGGAGCCGAGATCGACAGCCGAGATTGACATCTTCAAGAGGCATTTCATTTGATAAAATACCTCTTGAAGATGTTGGCACCAGAAAAAGTTTTGAGAAAAAACCGCCCCTCTTCTTCTGGTGCTTTTCAATCCGGGTTAAAAGAGACGACACAATTGTGTCGTCGACGATCTCGTGCTCCATGAAGCCCAGAGCCCATCCGGCAGAACATCCAAAGGTTTCTCTGAGGTCCCTGAAAACCTTTTTCACAAGCCCAGGGACCCAGTCCACCTGGATTTCCACCGGATGGCTCTTGATGTCAGCGCAGATATGATGAACTATGCGCTCCTGTGCCTCCCATCAGGGAATCAAGACACCTCCGTGTCTTTGACTCCCTGATGCCCAGACACAGCAACGACTTCACAAAAAGTCGCACTGTGTCCTGTCTCTGTTCCTCTAGGGACGCCCTCAGTTCTTCGGCGCGTCTCCTTGCTGTCACCAGTTCATGGACTAAACTGATGACAGCTCGCGCCAAAGAACTGAGACCTAAGCCCGGCCTCAGAATCGACAAGGGGTCTTCATCATCCATGGGAGACCTAGATGTTACGTGCTTCAGGAAAAGGACGTCAAGCACCTGAGCACAGTCTCCCTGGACGACTTCGTCGACTCCCATCGCCCGGGCAAAGGCCTGAGAGACCTGATCTCCGAACATGACTTTTATATCGCCATACTCGTAGTTCAGGTTCTCAGAAACGTCCCTGACAAAACCGGAGAAAACATTCAGCAAATAACTTAAAAGGTATCTCGTCCTCTCTTCGATACCTTTATCCAAGTCCAGAAACTGTCGATCCAGCCAGTCTTCTTCATGTGTTTGATTGATGTATTCACTGATAGCAGATATGGCGTGTCCATCCACTAACAATTGTACGTCTCTCCTCAATAACTCCATGTTTCTTGATGCCTACTCTTCTTGAAATACCGTGGAACCTGGCAGAATGTTACCAAGCGGAGTTATTTATACCCCATGTTACACAACAAAGCAGTATGTGACATCACAGCCTGTTCATGTCATTATGATGTCACAGACAACTTTCCTTTAAATTCTTAATGACGTTTTTATACTTATTTGTCTGTAACTCAATCTAAATTCTTGCTCAGATATAAAAATAAAAAACTCGAAACTTAAATGGGTTCTCTGCTGGTCAATAAACACATTCAGCTGAACCTGGATTTTAATTTCGCAATCAGAGATGCAAGATGATCCCTGTTTACGCATAAAAGCAGGTTTCCTGTACGTTTCATCTGGATTTTCTCAACTAGATCTAAACGTATGCTGGTTTTTATGCATCCAACTTATCTATCAATGCTGATCGAGGCGAAAATTGACAAATTTCTATTACTGGCAACGACAATAATTGATGCTCCATTAAACGTTTGGCATTTAACTCACTCACAGAATATGTATCAAATTGCTGAAATGCAAATCCTAAATGCTTCCAAAGTGAAACTTTTTCCTAGCGTCACAAAAACGTGATGTAAAATAAGTTATCGAAAAAAAATCGACGATCATTCCTCAGATGTCAAGCTGTTGGATTTCTGTTGCTTTATCATCAAATGTCAGTCAAGTATGTAAGGAAGTAAGATGACTTTGTGCATCCTGGCACCTGGTGAATTTCAAAGGACTGGCTGGTTAAACAGAGTGTAATAATGCAATTATCATTCCAAGTTTATATGAGGCATTAAGCTACATGGGGGATTCATCAGATCCCTGATCTGATTCTGATCTGTGCGTCTTTCTGAAGACAAAAATCATCTCATATGACGATGGCGTGAGTGAAGGTCTGCACGCTTCTGCTTCTCCTGCATTATTAGCATATATGATTAAACAGCCGAAGCTCCAACTCTGCAGATAAAAGCTCATCATTACGTGATTAATTAGAGCACTGCTTGATGGGATTAAGGCTGAATCTCATTTCACTCCTTCAGCCTCAACCTTAAAGGAGAAACGGGAGTTTGGTTCGTCTCTGAGGAGTAAATAAAGATTTATAGGGAATCGTTTCCTTCCAGGACGCAAACATGGAAGTGAAGGAGATTTAACGTCCATAAGTGAAAACGACTCCAGCAGCGTCTACTTTGAAACGTCCCAGCAGATCTAGTCGCCGTTAATTATTGGTGATCAGATGAAAAATAGCAAATATGCATTTTGAAAAAAGTAATAACTTTCTTCTCAACAAGCTAATAAAGTGAAAACATACTGCAGCAAGCAAAATAATTTACACACCAGACCTAATCACTTATCTGATCATTAAACTAAAAATCCTTTTATAAACACATCACATCTTTGTGCTTGTAAAATATTGGACTCCAGTTACAGATCAAAGTTAAAAATGATCAGGCTGATTGATTGGTGCATCTCTAGTTATGCAATATTACTCCCAGTGATAGATATATGTGCTTAGTCATGTTTTATCACACTTTATTTCCTTTAAACATGTTAGTACTACACATGAAACCTGTCATTTTATAAACTATGTAAAATGTAAAAACTCTTTAAATACTTTAAAGTAAATCGCAATTGTTCTGCATTACAAAGCATGAAAAATGCCATCTGCCTCTGTAACAGTTTTATAGGATATTATTAGTCATCTTATTAGTGGTGCCCCAGTCTGATTCATATTTTAACCGCTCATGAATACAAATCAAACCCTTCCTGAAAAAATAAAACCACGGTTTTATAAAACTGGAATTATTTTTAAGGCTCTCTGCTCGGTGTAAAGTAAAATAATTTTTAGAAGAGTTTGAAATGATGATCTAATCTATTCAAAGCAATCCTTAAATTAAGCAAAAATCTGCCTCATTATTATGCCATGTTTTATTATAATCTCCATTAACACTAACTCAAATATCAGAAAGAAATGAAGAGAGAGCTTTTTTAATTTTATTCCGAGCTGTTATGTTGTCTCCCTGGTGCGATGACGCCCAGGGCAGAGAGCCATAATTCCACCTCTGGGAGTTCAGGAATTCAGTCCGAGTTATGAGCTTTTCCTGTTTGCCAGGATAAAATAAAACCCCAGGCGGTCACGAGGCGCGGACTCACCTCAGCGGGATCTTCACCGCCAGATATCTGTCGATCGCGATGGCCAGCAGGCTGAAGATGGAGCTCTGAGTGAGTACCAGCACGAAACAGGCGAGGAACAGGCAGCCGTAAAAGTTCAGGCACAGGCCGACGCTGATGATGATGGCGAAGGGGATGGCGAGGCAGCCGACCAGGATGTCCGCCACGGCCAGGGACACCAGAAAGTAGTAGGTGGCGTTCTTCAGCGTGCTGTTGATGGCTACGGCCCAGCACACCAGCACGTTGCCGCATATGGAGAGGACGGCGATCACCGCTTCGATGGCGATGTAGGACGCGTCCATCTCAGCAGAGCGCGTCCGGGTCTGAAACCGGGCAGGTGGGTCACATCAGCGGCGGTCATCCGCGACGCGTCTAGTCCCAGAGGAGGCGGCAAGCCCGCGCGCTGTAGTCCGGCGGTCCTCCACAAGTGGCTGCAGGAGGTGCCATCTGCTGCGAAGTGGGGAGAAGGTTTTGCGCAAACTTGACGAAACTTCAGCGTCCGTCTGTTTCACCTGGTCGTCTGCGCGACTCACCTTCTGGACGTCGTCGCGCATGCAGAGGAGCGACCGAGCGGCATCTGCACGTCGGCGACGGTGTGTCACACAATTTCCCTCAAACAGCGGTTTTCATGCAGAGGAGGAAGCAAAGAGGAGAGGGGGTTGGTGGGGAATCACTTTCACGCTGGAGCCACGCCCCGCACAACACACACGCGGTTAAAAAAGTTCCCCCTGAGAGCGCCGGTGCCACGCTGCGCGTAATTACGAGTGGGTTAAAGCGGAGCGGCGTTTTCAAGTTTCCACGTGGAGTTCCCGACACATAATCGCTCAACTGTGTGCGCGCGAGACGGCACCCACGCGACCAGAAGCCCAATACAGTTTGGCTCCGTCAAAGCCTGACAAATCTTATTTTAATCAAATAAAACAGTTTTTATTAATATATGTGGTACAAAATAGTTGTCTTACATTCCTTGTGTGTGATTTTATACTTCAATCCTGTTCAAAACTAAATTATTTACCGAATCAGTTATAAACATCTATGAACTCCTGACAGGTGTTGTGTCATGTTTTTATTTTTTTGTTTCCTCCAGAATCGAGCTGTAGCGTGAAATACTTGCATGTTGTGCCTCCCAAACAAGTTCATGCTCCTTTAACTTTGAGATTTTAACGTTATTTGATAGACAAAATTATTAATTTGTGAGGCGTTGAGTAAATAACTGCTTACAAGGCAAAATATTAAGTGTGGTGCGAATATGAATTTGACTCTTACGAATGGCACCCAGTTAGTCAAGGGACTCCGTCTGTGTGGAGCTCAGTCTCAATAGAAATCCAGCTGTTTTGGCCTCAGAGGTTTGTTAGAAAACATTAGTAAACAAACGGCATCAGGAAGACCAAGTGAGGTCGGGGAGAAAGTTGTGGAGTTTCTGGCTTACAAGGAATCTGCAACAAGCCCCACTCCACCTTCAGGAAGTCACTCCTCTATTAACCCGATGACAGCGCTTTTATCAACTTTGCATTGAGAAGTAGCTCATATAACGAGCTCAGCAGCTGTGGAGTTCCACCAGGTGTTTGCTAATTGCTGCTGGCTAGTCTGAAGGAGCTGGCTGGGGGGAGCGGTAGGGGAGGACTGCTCCGTGAGGTGGAAACGGGAAGCTTAGAAACTGCAGCTCCAGTGAGGAGCCGCCCCTCGAAGGCGGAGCTAAGTCCAGCGAGGCTTTTTACGCAGCTGAGTGGTTGCCACCAGAGACTGAGGGACTTCTCAAACACGCATGAAAGAATCAAAAACACTCCAGATTGATCTGATGGAATTTGATTTTTCACGACACTGGCCTTTTAAAAGAAGAAAACATTTTTATTCAGATTTTTTTTCATGCTATTGGTCAGAAATGTATCCATCAAAACCGTTAGAGTCACGTTTTCCAGTTGAGGACGACGCCACTTGGATCAACCTGCAGCCACAGAAATGTGTTACAGTAACAACAGTGTACTGTAACAAAGATGGCAGCCCTGCTGAGTGTTCCCACTGACCTCAGTGTTGTTCCAGTCCTGGCACTGGGCTTCAATGGGCCCAGTGGGAAAGCAGTTTATCACCCACGGAGCATCACGGCAGTTTGATTAAAGCACAAACACAGAGGCTGGACCGTTTACCCACAAGCAAAACATGACAAGTGAGAGCAGACACACCGACGAGGATTAAAAATAAATTCAGGATAATCCTTTATTAACCTAAAGTTACCATAGAGACCTATTCATCACCAGAGAACATATTCTAGTCTTTTAGTCAATAAGCAACTTTTGTAAATAAATAAATACAACTTTATAAAAAAAAGAAAGAAAGAAAACGACCGTCTGCAAATTGTAGCGTGTCAAAAGCTGGAGCGTCCTCCTTTTACATGGAAAACATCGTCCATATTTCAATGTGGCATGCAGCCTAATACAGATGCACACAGTTTGCTTCACTTTTTTTTTTCTTGATGGGAAATGTGGAAAACCTGTGAAAACCTGTGCAGTGCAACAGTCAGTTATTCCTCAGCGTCAGGGGCTGATCTAATCGCAGAGGTGGACGTGTTGTCGTCATATCGCCACAGAAGCCTGCAGCGGCTCCTCGGTGTGATGGGTGGCCCCGCCGGAGTCGTGTTGTGGTAACAAAAAGAGAACAAAACTGAGTCTGTCGGGAGCTTTTGATTTGTAAACAGAGCAGAGTGGTTTTAACGCTGCCTTTTAGAAACGCGTCGGCAGCACGGAGAGGACGATGGAAGACATCAACAACAGTTCTTTGTTTTTTCAAACTGTAAAATAGAAATAAAAATCTCAGCTGTGCTGTAAAACTGCTACAACATGTCAGAGTGACTCTGGATCAGTTCATCTGTGAACGCACTTCTCGGGAGAAATCTGTTTCGCCGACTGCAGCGCCTCTCCTTTTTTTTGGTCGCACTTCTGATTGCAGAGGTGAGTTCAGAAACTTGTTGGGCAGCTGCTGGGCGGCGGACAGCAGCGCCGGTCTGGAAGGAGGGTGTCCCACACGGAGACGGGACAGAAGAGTCGCCCTGATCGTCCCGTCCGCCTCCCTGATGCGTCAGGTCTCAAAGTATTTGTAGATCTGGGAGACGTACTGCATGACGCTCTGCCAGTCGGGCCTGTCGGTTTTCATCAACTCCTCAATGTCCTGTTTAGGACAAACACAGCAGAAGTGAGACGGGAATAAGACGATGTTGATGGTAATACAACGGAGTATCAGGGCCTCACTGAGAAATTAATCACAAAGTCATATTGCATTAACACGCCATCACATGGCAAAACCTGGTTTGGAAAGTGAAAGAAATGTCCAAATCACCACATTTAAAAACACTTCCTTAGGACACCAGAAGAAGCGTGATTTATATCATTAGGCTGCAAATCGTAACTGCATTTAGTCAGATATTCAAATGTATTTATATTTATTGATGCTTTAATTGAAAGAACAGTGAAAAAAAACAAATATTAAAGCTGATATTCTTAACAATATGGACAGTTTTTGGGGTTTCAAGCATTAATTGGAATTTCTAATGACGACAATGAATCAAAATTAAATTTATCACGATAAACGATACGATGAATATCCAACTCTACTATGACGTGCGAATTAGTGAAGACAAGTCCCCCAATCCGTCCACCCATCTTTTCAATCTCATTTATTCCAACAAAAATGAAAAAATAAACGTGATTAGTGATAAACTATCTTAAGTGGTTATGATTCTGGCCGGAGGATAAGTTCTCACTGGGTCGTCAGTCGGTTCCAAGTGAGAGTTTGGAGAACTTATGCAGTTTTTATACATTTATTTGTTTTTCATGGTGGATATTTGATTAATTACTGCAGTCAATAATTGGTGAATCATGTTAAAGAGGATATTAGACTCAGGAGCAGCGTGGCTCATGATCTATTCAACATACGTAAAACTGAAAACAAGCACATGCAGACACACTTTGCTTTTTAAAATCACTGCGAGATACGCTGAAATGAAATTAGCAGGTTTGTTGTCCTCTTCCATTCCTCTAAAATATTTGACATGAAGCATTTCACTGAATGGATCACAAGGGGAAAAAATATTTTTAGACTCTATTTTTATATTTATTAAGTTCCAGACCTGGGAAAAAAAAGACATCAAAACTTCCAAGAGGCCGTTTATCACCGAAAACCAACTGGGAGTTTTCCAACGACGCCTTAATAAATCCGCTGCAGCGGAAACCAGGTTTACACAGTTTTCCAAATTATTCAAGGGATATTTTCTCAGATTTTCTTAAATGGTCAATGCAAAAGATGGTCAGTACAATTTTCAAGTCATGAACTATTAAACTATAAATCAAACTTTGTTGAAAAAAGCTCCCCATGACAAAGTTTTTTTTTTTTTCAAAAATAACTCAAAATTCACTGTCCCAAATTATTATGCACAGCAGATTTTCTAAACATTTTATGGATTATAAAATCCATAAAAAATTTATAATTAATTTATAAAATGGATTATAAAATGTTTTTTATTATAAACATTATAATTATGTGTATAATTACAAAATTATAAAGAAGTGCAAACGGTTGTATTTCAATCAAACACATCTTAACAGACTGAGCTACATGTTAACCTCTTCTTTGGCATCACCTGCACAATTCTTGCATCTACTGAACTTGTGAGTTTGTGGAAAGTTTCTTCTTGAATCTCAACAAACTAATCAACCAGCTCTCTGAAATGAATTATATTGATTCAAAGAGCCCTGACACAAAATACCATCTATAAATTTAATAGCACAAAAAGAATTTAATCTTTACGACACTTAAATCCAATTTGCATAATAATTTGGAACAAGTTGTAATAAGCTGCAACAAAAGCAATGAACTGAACACAGGGGAAGGCTTCTGAGAAATTACGCAGAAAATTGTAAATTAGTCCAACAAAGTTTGGATTTGGACGCAGCAAGGCATCGCTGGAAGGACCTGAAAATGATGGAGTCCAAAAGTGCTGAACTTCAACATGTCTACTGAGAAATTTAAAGACCCATCTTCTGCAGAAAACGCTCGTAAAATTCGCAGGATTGTTTTCCCGAATTCCTCTGACTCACAGAGATGATTTGTTAAATGTTTTCTCCCTTAAAAAAACAGGAACTGACATGGCATGAATCTGACAAAAAATAAATGTAGCAAGGTTTCTCTGCAGACTCATTTCTGTAGCTGCCTCTATGAGATCACAACCCAAAAAAAAAAATAAGGAATTAATTTCTGGGATGTGTTCAAAGTAAGGAAGCAGGAAAAAACGGGGTCCAAAGTTCACCAGCAGTAAGGGAGTCAGGATGGATTTATGTTGTGGACATGGGAACAATTCAGTCAAATCCAACCACAAACGCGTAATAGAGAATTATAAGAAACCAAAGCGTGACCTTTGACCTAAACGCAGCATTTAGGTCAAGTCAAACTTCCAGATTTGGAGTTTTAAAAGCCACATCAGGACAAAAGATTTCCGCTGGGAGTTTTACGTCCGATTCTTATCGCAACATACTTGCTATTATCATTTTAATTTTTTTCCATTTCTTACAGGTACTATTTTGGTCAGTTCATAAAGCAGACAAGCATGTTTCAAACACAGAGTTTCCACAAACAAAGCAATTACTCTAAATGTAGATTTTTTTCTAATAATGATCGTCCTGGACTGGAATGTTAAACTTTAATGAGTTCCAACTTGCGGCGCTGATGTTAGTGTGTGTGTTGTTAATGCAGGGCTGAAAAAACATGCAGAGAGCTTGCAAACAAAGGTTGTGGGAGTGTGATGGAGTTTTTGTTTTTATTCCACATACATTAGAATGACAGATGGCGTGTTGCTCATTTCATAGGACAGGAAACAGTCGTATGGAAGCCCAGCTCTCAGGCTGCGTATTCCTGCTTATGTTGCTCCGAAAGAGCAGAAAATATTTACATGTAGATACAAAATTATGTTCAAATTATGTTTCTATTGCAGGTGGCATTTCAGGAGCTTGGCTATGAAGTTGATTTCTCCCACCAAAGCTTTTTATTATGGAGCTGAAAAGGGGAACGTATTGAACGCATCACCAGTTTTCTCTGTAAGGTTTCTAAAGGTGAAAGGTCATCAAATTCTCACCAGTCCAGTTCAAACGTACCAAATCCAAACGACTGATATCCATAAAATAAGTTATGTGTAATGACCACACAAGACTCCACCATTGAAGAAAAAAAAAAAAAAAAATCAAGTTTTAGAGGATTTGTGGTGGGAAACATGTAGGTGATATAGACTTAACTATAAAAAATAAACTCTTTTAAAGGTCTTAAATCGCAGCACATTTGGCAGTCAAAGGATCTGTATAGCACCGCAAAAAAACCAGCTTACCAGCTGTGAAGTTTGGAGGTGTGGACAATTCGGTTCTGGTGGACGATAAAGGATGAACGGCTGAATCTGCTGCCGCCATGACAATTTAGATTAAACATACCGAATGTTTCAGCAAGGCAAACCCAACAAAACTCTGACATGGTTTCACAGAAAGAGAACTAAAGCTGGTACTACGATCCAGCTAATCACTTGATCTGAATTCTACAGAACATAGAACTGAAGGTCAAAGGTCATAGAAGGAACCCACAGAACTGTGAGAATTTGAAGACATATTGTGTGAAAAATGGTCTAAAGTATCACCTGAGCAACTGATCTCCAACAGAGCTTTTTTTTAAATTTTTAATATTACTATTAATATTACTATTAATATATATATAAATATATATATATATTTAAATAAAGTGGTAAGTAATTTTGATATCTTTGGACAGCCAAAGGTAAAAATGGAAAGCCAATTACAAATTTAGAAATCCATTTATTCAGGAGACTGGTGATGTGTTGCCTCCCTCTTTTGCCTGATTTGTGCCAAAATCCTAAACCACATTAATGAAACATAACCTGATGCTCTGAAGTCAAGAGCAGTGTGGGGTTTCTGTGGATTTTAAACAGCAGAACAGCAGCGCCGCATGTTTTCAGTCGCAGATAATTTGGTCACAGCTGTAGGTGACAACATTATGATTATGGGCTGGAGCCTGAAACAAGAACTATCAATTGTCCTGTGATTGGCAGCTCATTCCAACACATGTTAACGGTTAATGTTGTCATTTACTGCTGATAAGAGTCCGGCGTGATCCAATCACAAGAAGAACGCAGGAAGCTGTAAATGTGATCCGGACGGATCAATGAAGCAATCGAATCCATCTTCTCTAGCGCAGCTCTGACTGTTTTAGATCTTAAACGAGAGATTATTAATCTACGTTTCTGAGATAAAGCTGGCAAAATAACCTTAACATTTAACGCCGTCAGGAAGGTAAAGAGCTGCATTTTGTTCCCATTTCCAATTCTTAAGGCTTTAATGTCACAATGACACTTAGAAAACCAAGTCAAATTGAAAACTTTTCATTTCCTCCTTACAGAATGAAGCCGTGCTTGGTACCCAACAGTGTTTGTTGAAATAAATCTGTAAAAATTACAATTCATCCACAAATTACTTTTTGTATTTTAAACAAAGCTAAAGTGCTGCACCAAAGTCACACGTGTTTGTGTTGCATTGACTCAGATGATATCTGAAGGTGATTGAGTGATGCTTAAATAGACTCGGACTGTCAATATTGCAAATGCAATTTCAGAAGTTCATCACTGGATCTGAGAACAAAGTGGACGTTTGGCCATAACCCAATGTTTACTCAATGTCTTTGGAATAATTACTACCCGAAGAGGAAAGACCAGCAGTAAATTTAACCATAATGCGAAATAATCCTCGGTTTCAAAACAAGAGTTAAAAGCTGGAATTAGCACATTTTGCTACCTGTTTACAGTAAGATGTTTTTATCCTGCGCTAGTTATAAAAAGCATCCATCCCATAACTGTCGATGAAAAGTATGTTAAGCATAACAGGAAAAACAAGAAGAATCTGAAACTTTGACTGTCTGCATGATGATACTAAGACACAGTTTACATAGAAAAACAGGTTTCAGTTTTACAGTAACATCCATGACTGAGCAGAAATGTTGGCTCAAGCTCACTGTGGAGTAAACTTGAACCGGACTGTTTACACAAAACACACTAGAAGCTCTCTTCAAGTGTAAACAGTGTAGTGTGGGTGACTTTTACTCAGTCAGGCAAGGGTTTTCCAATTAGTTATTTTTCTCACTACAACCGAGGCAACACAACAGAAATATGGATTTAAGATCCTCGGCAGTAAGTAATGGAAAATCTTTACAAATTTGGGAAAAAATGTCCTTTGGGTAAATTACAGTTGCTATAAAATCTAAGAAAATCAAAGTGTAGTATTTCCAATTTGTAAAGAGTCTAAGAGTGTGTGTGTGTGTGTGCGTGTGCGTGTGTGTGTGTGTGTGTGTGTGTGTGTGTGTGTGTGCGTGTGCGTGTGTGTGTGCGTGTGCGTGTGTGTGTGTGTGTGTGTGCGGCAGCTCTGCTCACCAGAGACGTTTTGATGCCAATGCTCTCTGCGGCCTGGAAGGCTAGAGTCAGATTCCGGACCTGAACCAAAACAAACAAACCGTCGGGTTTTCAGAAGACATGAACATCAGACCGGGAGGTTCGCTCAGCACCAATAATAAGCTCACAGACGCACCAATAAACAGTACAATCTCCCATCACATGGGCTTAAAACCAGCATAAGACTCTGCTTGTTTATGCGACCGTCTTGGTGCATTACGTTTTCCTGCGTGTTTCTGACAAAGGTAATAAAATGAATGTGCAAATGTCAGATCGAATGTAAATGGGGTTACTAAAGGCTTAAGTTTCAGAGCCAGAATCCCCTAAGAGCCTTAAATGTATGAAATATAATACGTGTAGGAAAAGTGGGTTAGATTCACAAAAGTGGAGGCAGGGAGCAGTTTTGACCCGGGATAATGAAATGTTTTGACAGGAAATCAATGCTAATGGTCAACAACACAGTTTATGACATGGCAGGGACAGAAAACTCAGTGAGTTAGCAGTCAGACACAAAGAAGGTGTTGTTTGTGAACATAAAGTGTTCTAGCTAAGAAAACACCTCGTTTTATAAATCATAAGTTGAAGCAAAGAAACGGCAAATAATACCTGCCCCCCACAATTTCATTTTTTGTACCCCTAAACACAACAACAGACATTTTTTTTGTCAGTGTTTGGACCAAATGAGCAGGTTTTTTTCACTTCCCTTCAACAGATTTGTAGCAATAACTCAAAGCAACTTCTTATGGCAAAATTAGATGTTTTTGTGACCGATTAAGATTAATTCGTTTCTGATAGGAGTAGAAAAAGAGAAATAAAAATACCAATGCACCACAATTGTGGAAAAAAAAAATTCAAACATGACAAAAACAGGACATGCTGAAAATCATCTATAGACTTCTCAAAAAAAAAAAAAAAAAAAAAAAAAAAAAAATCTTTATTTGCAGCACACCAATCAAATCCGTTCTTAAAACTACTGACAATTTCATTGTTGTCACTTCTGGTCAGACGAAATAAGATCAAAAGATTACTTTAAGCTTAAATTAATCAAACATATAAACACCTTTGCCTTTATTGGAACTGTCAATGGACATTTAGAGTTTGAGATGTGTAACTGTGTCCCTGGAATGACTTTAAAGCAGCTGCATTACAATTACACAGCTAAAAACTCAAAAATAAACAGACTTATTCTGTGGTAAAAAGAGTGAGGCTTTGAGGTGCTTCTTTACTGCTACTATACTTTACACAATAAGAGTGTGTCGCTAGTATATAACCCCCCCTCCCCGCTATTCTGCTGACAGTTATTACAAGAAAATGCGAGTCGGAAATGAAAAAAATGTCAGAAATGTTGATGAAATGTTTGTTTTTGTAAGTGACTTTTTTACTATTCATCACTGTGATGAAATAAATGCAGATTTGGCTTGTTGAAGAACACTTAAATCTCCATGTAGGTTCCCTGTCTGTTAGGTCTTCAAGCTGTTCTCAGACAACTTTCCTCAGGGCTTCCTACATGTACAGTTAGAAAAAATGTATATAAATTCAGTGGGATATGGAGCAATGGGATATATATATATATATATATATATATATATATATATATATATATATATATATATATATATATATATATATACACACACACCCAGGTACAAATCCCAGAAACCTTTTTACCTAAAATCTAAGCAGACCCACCGTGTTATCTTCCTAAAAGTATCTATGACAAAAGGTGAAGGAGGTTAGTAATGGGATTATTGGGAGGATGGATTACACCGGGAGCAGACTGGGTGTTTGGGCCTCAGGGAAAGTCACTCAGAACGCGTTATTAAAGGCAACACACGTCTATTGAATTATTCAGAGAGATGGGCCGTGCAGCGTCTCCGTCATCAGCTCCATGTCACACATTCACGCCGACTCGGCCGTACGCTCCCACCTTCACGCGACTAATTCGTCAGGTGGAACATGTCAGGTCTGGTCGAAGGTGTTTATCTATCGCCGCGATGTGAGAGCAAAGTGACGGAGGGAGGCAGCATATTGTCTGCAGCGTCACTGTTTACCAGCAGCTTGTCTGTATTACAGATCTGTCAGCATCACGTAAAGCATGACTACACAAACATTCATGATTCATCATCATCCTTTCTTAGAACGCGGCACGGCTAATATAAAAGACCCATGAAATGGATGCAACTCCATTAGACAAGTCTGTGATGATATCAAATGTAAATCAAAAATGTTATTTCCCACTCGGCTCATAATGTGGTGTGCATAAGCAGACAATTTCCACTTTAGTCACTCTCACTCGTACCACTATGATGGAATATTATGGCCGTACTGAGAAAAACACAAAAACAAAGTATGAGAATAAAGTCAGAATATTGTCAGAATAACGTCAAAGTGTTACGAGATTAAAGTTATAATACTGTGATATAATATTAAAATGAAAACATATTCAATACAGTCATAATGCTGACTTTATTTTTGTGTTATTTTGACTTTATTCTCATACAAGTTTATTTCCATACTTTAATTTTCTCCCATTGCTCCATATCCCACTGCCTGAATATTGTTTTCAGGCAGTTCATTTCTTGCAAGCTAAAGAGGCCCAACATGCACTTTTTTCTTTGTGCACATTTTCGCAGGTGCAAAATCATCCAGTACAAAACAAGGCGGAGAAAGGAAGTGAAAAACACAAGAAGCAGATCAGATCATTAAAGCTGCAAACCTTTTTATGGACTCTGAGGATGCTCTAAACAGGAAATGATTTCTAAGTGAAGCTTGTAGTCAGAAAGTGTGTGGCGCAACCTTCAGTACGTAAGAGACGCTCTGGTGTCCTGATGCGAACTGACAAGGAGCTGGTCACGCTGCAGAAGCTGCTGTGACTCACTGAAGTATCTCGGCATCTTAGTTGGAGGTGCGAGTGATTTGTGTGGACGGAGGGTCGACACGTGAAAAATGCCACACTCGTCAACCTGTGCAACACGTGCCTTAATTAAAAATAATAAACTCCTTTTACCGACATGTTTTCTGATTCTTTAATTCGTAGAAATTCACTGACTGGGTTGTAATTCAAACTTTAAAACCGCATCTTGTCCGACAGCACGATGGGGGCAGGATGAGGTGAAAACGGGGCTGGATGCATTCAGCGCGCCTTTCAATAAAGGCATTGATTTCCAATCACTGAGGTTTGATGAGCCGAGTCCCTGATTACATGCTGATGAAACACTGACCCACTTACTGAGGAAACCTTAGACGCCGCTTAAAATGAAAGAAAAAGGACAAAGTGCACAGATTCTGTAACGGTTTGAGCTTTTTGTTGTTCCATTCCGCATTCCGACTACACGGTCTATTTTATTTGGATTTATTTGGTGTTAATTTAGACTGAACATATTACTTAAAGAAGTGGCTAATGTTCCCATGGTATCTCCAGAGGAGCTGCAGACATCAGCAGGTAATGTCGCTTCTGACATGGCAGCTGTTAATAATGAAACCCTCAAACATGGCCTTTGTCAGAGAGCTGCAAAAAGAAAATCTAAATAAGTTTGCAGTTCGCCACAGGCCAGGTTTTCAGACGCAGCAAACATGAGGAAGACGTTGCTCTGATCGAATCAGAGCGAAACTGATTGCCTGGCCTACGTGCGAACCTCTACGTGATCCAAATCACTGCCGCCGCAGAGAAAGGTGGTTCTACAAATTACAGACGCATGAGGGCTGAATGGATCACAACACTTTACAGATCTCTATTTTTTTGACTTCCACGTCATAACGACGCATAACTGTATGTTGATCACCCACATAAAACCCAGAAAAGTGTTGAAGTTTGTGGCTCTAACATGACGAAAATTGGAAACCTTCCACAAATGATAAATGGTCAACATTCCCACTGTGTAATTAGGATGTTGAATGAAGATATTCTCTTAGATATACAGTTGGTAACATCGATAAAAAAATATTTTTCTGTACATTTGTTAATAGCATCATCAGATTAAGACAGAAAAAGAATCTGTGAAAACATTGAGCTCTTCTACCTTCCTCATGCGGTCCCACTGCTATCTGCAGAAATACACCTCTCCCGGTCTTAGCACGGTCAATCACCCTCGTGTACAGACTGCTCACACACCACACTCCTACTGTCTGCTAAGCTACAGAGGAGCCTCCTGTGAATGTTCAGGCTAGTTATCATGAAGAATCAGAATGAACAGTTTTCTTGTAATGGTAAGAAAACTGTCAATCTTCAGCAACATGTACACAAACATGATTGACAGAGCTAAGACCCTCCTCCTGGCTCTGATAGGTTGTGTCTGACCAGGGGAGATGTGTTTCTTTATAAAGGTGTAGCTGAATCAAGAGAAAAAAACCCACCTGCTTAGAGTTACTTTTGAAACATTACAAATCAGTAAAACATTTTGATGTATAATGATGAAACTTGAATTGGTGTTTTTTGACTTTGTATTTTTTGTGTTTTTATGAGGTAAAGCATTTTGAACTGCATGTTGCTGAAATATCAACTTGATTGATTCTGCAGATGGCGGAGGGGCTCAGTTTTTTTTCACAGACCATCAGTCTCACATTAAACTGTCAGAACATAGTGAGTCTTAATATGTAAAAAAATAATAATTTTAAAATGTGTGCAGACGGCAGGCTTACCCCTCTACTGTATAACTGATTGTGAAACAAGGAGGCCAACCTGCTGTTGCCTTGAAACTCGAATGTTTTCCCATACAGAGTTTCAGCTGTTCAGTCAGTGTCCTCCTTTATTGCTTCTTTTTATTGTTTTTTCATTTCTCTGTTCTCTAAATAGTGTTGCTTTTTGACCCGTCTGACCTGCATTGAGGGAAGCGTTCCTTTATTTTTTGGAAGCAGGGGGTGTTTTTCACAGCGTTGGCTCCTGTGCAGGCTTCCTGTACCTTATCTTGACTGATGAGCTCCTGGTAAGGGATGTGAGCAGGCAGGTACGTGTGCAGGAGGGCACAGAAAGCCAGGCCATCGCTCCAGCTGCTGCTGAAGTTGGTCACATCGATATTCTGTTGACAGAGGAAAGTATTTATTTATTATTCATCAGTAATTACCAGCAGGAGAAAGAGGAGAAAACCACAAGATCACAGGATGAAGTCACAGACAGTAATTATGGAGACCTTAAAGCATCCATAACTCGGGCGGGTGAGCGGGCAATATGAACAGCCCATTAAGTCAAAGAACCACAGAAAACAACACGACAATTAAAATCTAATGCTATTATGTCGCACTCTGGGTTTTCCAGACTCCATTTAAGGCTGCTAGTGTTTCCACCAGCGGCGGGTAAGAGGATCTTCGTAGATTTGCCGTCGACGAGGTCTCTGATCTGCCCTCTGGGGGAGGAACGTGCACAGCGGCACGTCCAGCTCCTTCTGTTTTTGTTTGTGGGATTCGCACAGAAATGTCACCTCGCACACGATGCATTCAGTGTATTCTGGGCCTGAAAAGTCTCGAGTTTGAAGGAAAGACTTCCTGCGGGCCATTGTTTGGAGGTTTGCATACTCCCCTGTTGAACAGATAAGTTATTTACGGGGTCTTCCTGTTCCATGCCTCTCATGAGCTTTTGGGAACCAGCCTCGCAGTTGAGGAGGCTCTCCTCCTCACATTCCAGAAACAGCTTCGTCGCCAAACATAACATCTCGGGTTTATGGTGTCCGCATGTCACTCTAAGCACTAACGAAAACCTACAAGTCAAGTCTGTGGCAGAAAAGTCAGGAAAAAAGTGCTGCACAACCAAATCTAAATTCTACTGAACCTGCTTTGGAGATGTTGGGCCCAACCCGACCTGGGCGCCAAGATTTGTTTCCCCACACAAGAAACAAGAGCCTTGTTTTCACAACTCAAAAAACAGAACGAAACAATAAGGTTGGACTTGCTGTACCAGAAGATATGTTTTTGGAGCACAATAAATATCTCAGAGTTCATCTGTTGCATCTTGCACACAGAGAATTAACTCCAGAGAGATGCTGCCGACGTGCCGCGCTGCCTCGTGTTTGTTTACCGTTGCTCCCGGCCAGTGGTCTTCAACCCTGGCCCTGCGGACAGGAGCGCTGCGGATTTTCATTCTGCAAATCTAATCAGTGACTGATCCATACATGCGGCGCCAGGTGAATGCAATTAACTGCCCGACAGGATGGAAAAACAGCACAACTCTGAGACCCGAGGACAAAAATGTTAAATAACCCGGCCACCGCAATAATGAATATCCCTTGAGCTCTGAGGAATTGTAGACAAACGGGGGCATTTCTGGCTGCCTTCATTTGTCTGGATGCCTGTTAGCGAAGTCATTAAAGCAGACGCACTCTCAAGGTGAGGAGGGAAATTCAGTGGAAGGAAGTGGAACATATGATAGTACTGATGACGTGATCACCGCAAGTCGCTGATGTGTAACTATATCTTTGGCTAACTTTAGGAAATGAGTAAAGCACCTTTCACGGGTAAGAAACAGCAATGTTCACAAAGACAGAGAATGAAAGTTTAAAAATGACTTAATAAAAATATTTAAAATCCTTGATTATTAAAAACTAGCATTTTTGTATTTTCTTTTGGATTTCTTCTGCTTTTAAAAGTCTCCCAAGCGCCTAAACAACCCATTCAGCTGTTTTTTCTTTTTTTTTGGTATTATGTTGATATTTTCCGGTGTCCAGAAAACAAGCCATTTCTAAAACCACCTGATTCCCACAGCGCCATTACCTAGCAACCCAAGCAGAGCTCCAGAACCTTTGGTCAGCTGGTTTTACCCGCTGGCTGTTCAATGGCTGCTGGGAAACATAAGTGTTTTGTTGTTGACTTACCAATTGCTGCATTCTTGTTGGCTGCGCAGGAGGAACTGCTGATGCTTTTCAAAGATTCACAGCTGCATAACTGCGCTTGTGTTTGCAGCCATTTTGGCATCGAATCAGGGGGCGTGGCCAGCAGCAAATTATTTGAACAAGAGGTCCTTAAACATCTCATTATGAAAGGAGTTTAACCCAGGCAGAACTGACCAGACTAAAGTCTGATTATCTAAGACAGATCATGTTTTATATTGGCTTTATGTTGGCTTTTAGTGCCAGATGTTAATATTTGTTGTTTCTTCTGAGTAAAGCTGCCTCAGCCTTACTTCAGGTCAAGCTGTAATTTGTGATCGATACAGAATGTAACAAAGTCATTATTACTGTTGTAATCCAGTTTGAAAGCATGTTCCATGTTATCCGGTGCATCTATGAATTCAAATAGAAAGTACTGCGCCAAATCAGATAGTGCCAATTCCCCCAATGATTAACAGCATTAATATCAGTATGTGGGTGTTATCATGGTGACATCAGCATCATCACTTTATGGACTGTGCTTTCGTGTTGGAAATGTGCTCAGTGAGTTCAGGTCCGCAGCTGAAGGACAGACCTGGGCAGTGATGTCACATTCCTGTCCCTCTCACAGCTGGTTCAGCAGCGCCGAGCGTGGGTGAAGCATGCATAAACTCACACATCACACTGGGGAAAACAGCAGGGGGTCAGTCACACTCCAAGCCCAAAGCAGACAGAAATAGTCTCCAGATCGGGGGCTTCTGAGGACAATGTGAGACAGGCTTTCCAGGTGTCAGCGGGTCTGGCGAGAGCCAATCGTAATCGTAGGTATGTTTGAATTCGGGGAAGAGGTCGGCGCAGACTGTCGGAGTCGACATGGGGACGGAGGGGGAGAGAGACGAGGACGCTAAAACAGCAGAGGACAACAACAGGTCTCTGGGAGTGGGATCAGAAAAGCAAACACAGCATCAAGCGACAGGAAGCGTCTCGCCCAGCACAATAAAGCCAGAGCCGACGCTTTCAGGGAGGCCAGAACATTTTGTTGGACTGAGCCTGATTCAGCATGTCAGCACATGGACAGCTGAGCTCTACACAACTTTCTCTTTTAAAAGTTACAGTTCAGTGAAGTTTTAAAAAAAGCACTAAGGATTCACAGATGACTTTACTTTTAAATATTTTACTTAGTTCATTGCACAATTAAATTACAGATCAAAGGTATTAAGAAATAAAATAATGATAAAAGTCCAGTGGCTTTAACATAAAATTATATAACCCAACAATGTAATCTCTCATCAGCTGATCATAAATTTATGAAGTCATGTAGAAAAAATAAAAACACATGAGTGTGATGGACCTATTCAAAAAGCTCCCAGTGCTGGAGACAGACATGAGCCTTCCTGTTATCCTGCAAACAGGAAGGAAAATGAATGAGTGAGTTTTGCTGCGTTGCCTCTGCTTTAAATAATTCTCTCATTTCGAAACGTACTGGAGACAAATGTAATGTCTATGATTCTTCCCAAAACCTTACAAGTTTAAAGTCCAAATATCCTAGTAAGCTTGAATTAAGGAAGATAAAGGAGCTTGTTTCAAGTCAATATTCTTTAATATTTTTAAGAAAGTACTGAGATTATTTCACATATACATTTCCCCTGATGTATATGTGAAATAACCCGTCAGTGGAGCCAATGCTTTTTCATCAACATAATGAATTATTGACTTAAAACAAGCTCCTTCACATTGCAGAAAAAGGTTCTTGTAAATTGGTTTTGTCTTGTTTCAAGTGTTCCAGAAACTAGACAAAAATACCGTTTTATGGCACAGTGTAATTAATTCTTCTATTGCCAAACCAAGTCATCTGACTCCTTTCAATGAGCTGCACCAGCAGCTCCACTTGAATAATTTCTTTTTCTGAGCACGGCGAGAGAGGAAGCTTCTATCGAACAGCTTGTTCTTTCACTCCTGATCCAGACCAAAGGTGAAGCTCTTCACCACTGCAGGCGGCAGCAGTGTCCACATTACTGCCAACGAGGCATTATTGTCCAGTATTCACTTGCTCTAGAAGAACAACTCAGACCTGAGGGAACTAGTTCCCTTTCTCTGCCTCAGAACTATGGATGAGAACCTTAGTCTTGAAGAGAAGAGCATGTCGACTCCAGTCTCTGCAGCAGCAGCAGAACAATGAGGCACTGCAGCAGAGTGACGGCACTGTTCACTGCAGGCAACCAAGCAAAGCCAAATAAACTTGCTCTGGCTAAAATCACTTCTACTGCAGGGCCGTCACGACAACCAGGAGTTTGTTTGATTCACGGATTATTTGCCACTCAATTAAAAATGTGATTGTGACGAATTAGCATAACCTCAACTTACCTTTTGAGAGTATTGAGAGAATGCCATTGCCCTAAGATGCAGCAGATGCACCACAAAAACACTAAATATCACCAAATAGTTTTGCTTTCTTGTACTAATATCTTATCTGGAATAAGACAAAACTAACTTACAAGTAACTTTTCAGCAACAAGTGGGAGCTTATTTAAAGTCAATTTCTTAGTATTAATAAAGCAGTACTAGTTCCACTTTTTTCTCTTCTAATAACACGGCAGAATATCTTGTTAGAAGTGAAACAAACTGGCAGCCTTTTGTCTTTGCAGTGCAGCAGCAGCTCACTTTAAACACCTTTCAGGTATTTTTCAGTCTTTATTCCTTTGCTTGTCTTTTATTAAATGCAAAACAACCTCTGCTTTACAAAGACAGAGACAAGCCCATAGTTTATACATAAAACTGAAATAAATTTTAGATTTTCTTCCCATCATTTCCACATTGGATCCTTGCAGTTTATTGCAGGGAACTAGTTGTGGAGAAGCAACACGTGGTTATATCTTGTGTGGTCTTTATCTACCGAGTGCTGTAGATATTTTTAAAATAACATTCATGAGGAGGTTTGACCTTCACCACACACACACCCACACACACACACGCACTCAGAGGTTTAGCCTCTGTGTGTGTGTGTATAAGGCCAGTAGATGCCACTGGTCTCATGACCAGCCAACTACTGCCGTCATGCTTTAAAGCCACTTGACACTCCAATGTCAACAATGTCACTGTTGCAACACTGAACTTTTTCCTCACAGGAGAAGTAAGAAGAAAATTACTTTGCAACATGCATTCTGTGAAAACAACAAAAAAAGGATGCAAGCAGGGAGGGATGGGATGGATACCTTTTTCAT